GCTGTGACCTGTTTGTCTGACACGTTTCTCATTAACTCTTTGTCAAATCACCAGGAAGCCGAGTTAATTGCAGGCAGAGTGCTGAATTTATGAGTTCATCTAGGCTTCATGTCTACACATTGACAGAGGTGTTTCTCTGGATGAAGTCTTTTTCTCTTCATTTTGTGGCAAGAATGGACTTTCTGTTTCAGTTACTTCTGAAAGTCATAAATTATAGCAGTCCCTCCCTCCCCTTTATTTAAAAGAAACACAACAAAACTTCATGGCAACAGTTTATTGCTCTAAATCAGCTCGTGGGTCATTAAAGCAAAAAGGAAAAAAAAAAAAAGGGGGGAAAAAATCTCCCTCTAACTCCTGCCAAATAAAACGTGTGCATCAGCCAAACTGTCAGAGGCAGATCCTGCAACTATGGGATGAGAAGGTTTATTACACTTTGGGCTTCTGGGGAGGGATGTTGCAGCACCAGGAGGCTGGGGCAGTGATGGCAAACTCCTGCTTGCTCCGTTTCCCCACGCACACTGGGAATCCATTAAGCCAACTGACGACAGATCCCGTGGAATTCCAGCCCCCAGCACCTCTGCCCGGGCCAAAGCCTGGATGCTGCCCATTAAAAAGTGAAAGAAACAACCCAACGGAGAGCCCACAAATTAGGGAAGCAGGAAACCTCAAATGATGTGCAAAAAAAATGGTCAACGTTCGAGAGAATTTTTTCCATAACTTTTGCTTCATAACTCAGCATTTCTGATGTTAATAAATTATGAAACGGAGCCTTTGGAAGATCAATGGGCCTTTTGGACTCAGATCCTGAACGCTGCTCAGCAGACAGCAGATGAAGCTGCAAAGTGAGTCCTGGAACATGACAACAATTTCCTTTTGGCTGGGGAGAGATGAGTCTGAAGCACAAGCCCAGCCAGGGCCCTGGGGCTGGAGCCAAGAGTCCTGGCTCTGCCACGGGCCCGTCCAGAGCCCCGTGATCCACGGGAACATGAAGGTGCTTTTGTTCTACCTGAGAGACTGGAGAGGAGAAGGATGAGGACTTGGGTGCAGGGAGAGACTGCAGATGTCTGAGCGAGGCAAAACCAGGGCACAAAGTCAGCAAGGGAGGGGAGTGGGGTTGAGAATACTTGGAGGAACTGTTGATTTGAAGGCAAGAAGTGGAGGGAGGTGCCTTGGGTTAATAAACGTAGAGGAGATGCTGAACTCACCATCTGCAGCACAAGGGGGGAATTAACTTAATTTTTTGTCATGTTCAATGAAAAAAAGAGAAAAAAGCCCTGAGAAGTGCATGACATGGTGGTGGGTGGGATAAAATGGAGAACTGATCAGAGGGAGAGGAAGCAAAGGAAGTGCTGCCACAGGAATTAGCTTGCTGGGAATGCCCGTGGGCTGCAGGCCAGATGGAAGCTCCTCTCTCCAACAGCCCCACAAGGACACAGCCTGTCCCAGGCTGCCTGGGCTTCAGCTGGGGGAGAAGATGAGACAGACACAATGTGTTTGGGCACTGGACCCAGCTCTGTGGGACAGGGATCCTGCAGGCACCAGCACAGCCTGGCAAGTTCAGCTCCACCAAGTCAGATGCCTACCAGTTACATGGGATTTTCTGCTGTTGGGTGTTGGTTGGTTTGGGGTTTTTTTTGGGTGTTTTGTTGTTTCCTGTGGCATCATGTTGTTTTTGTTGCTGTTGGTGCTAAGTATCTGATGTCAGCCTTCTCCTGCCCAGGGCACCAGGGATATCTGTGGGTGAATGGTCTTACAATGAAGGCTACTGATTAGTCCTTGAGAGAAATGAACTTAGTGCTGATCTTAACAGTGAATTTAGTAGAGCTGGATACCACTGTTTGAAGGAGCACATCCCAGACCAGGTGGCTGTGGTGAGCTGAGCCTGCCCTGTGGGATAAGCCCCTCTGTGCAGCCATTTGCCATCTTTAACTTACCCACCAATAAAACTATTTTTCCTCCCTTTTCCTTCTCCATTTGCTCTTTTTCAGACCATCACTTGTCCCTTAGTGCTGGTCCTGCTACTTCTAAAAATCAGCTAAAAAAAAGAATGATTCCTGTGCCTTCCAAAAGCAAACCTCCAACAGAAAATCTTTCTGGTTACTGACAGTGACCTGTAACCAAGTTGGTTTGAAGAATTTCAGCAGAGGAAATTTCTGATTTCCTCCTGGTCTGAGCTGGAGGGAGATGTGGTAAAAGGTTTCAGTTTGTTTTTCTGAAGTTTCTTAAGGTGGAGGGAGGAGGGACCCAGAAGATTCTCCTGTGTGTGCATGTTTGACAGAGGAAAAAAATGTGTACTGCAGAGAGCAGTTTGTGAGTACTATGGGATTTCTCAGTGATTTAAAAATTGTGATATAACTTTCACAGAGAACATCAGAAAAGAGCGTGAGTGTGTGAACTTGATCTGTAATTAGAGGTGTCAGCCACAGAGGGCTGGGCTGACTTGAGAACACCCCTGCTCTGCCTGCTCTTGGTGTGCTCTGTTGATCATACCCACTGTATCTCACCATGTCTGGGAAAAGTCCTCCTTTCCAGGCAGCTTGACACCCACAAATACTGAAGCAACCTGAGAAATGAGCCTTTAGAATCTTTGCCAGCCTTGGAGATCCCTCCTGCAGTTCTGACTCGGGCTGCAGGGAAGGGCACAGGCTCCACACTTGCCCTTACTGGCATTTTCATGGAGCAGTTCTCATGTAAAGGCAGGGTTTGTAAGGCCTGTGTTCTTGTGGATAGTATCTGGTGTTTATTTTTGTACCTGCAATAAGTGACAGGTACTTGAGTACCCAGCTCCTGGGCAGTGGGATAGTGATGCCCCCAGGGCTCTGGACGTGGTGACTGAGTGATGCTCCTCCTTCCCTGGAGGGTCTCACCCCTTTGTACACTTGGCAGTTCTGCCCAGAGCTGGCCAGCTCCAGGTGTGGATGGATGTTCCACTGCCACAATCACCACCTTTCACATCTGCCCATGTCCTCAGGTGTAATTACACTGTTTCACCTTCATCTGGAGCCTCCATTCATCACACTGCTAGTGCTTCCAGCCCACTGCCACTGCAAGGGGAAAAGGAGTAAGCAAAAATCCTAGGAGATGCCCTAGGAAAGAATAATGCCTTTTACTCAAGTATGTAGTGGGATAGGAGGGCTCAGGTAATTGCTTCCCTGTGGCTCAGCTGGCTGGTGCTGACTGACTGCTGTCTGACCTGGCATTGCTGGGAATACTCTGTCCTCTCTCCCTACCCCTGTACCATTTAGTTTTCCAGCTGGTCCAATTCCAAGGGTCCCTTAGGGATAACGACAGAAGCAAACCATAAGGAGCAGGAGCAGGCAAAGTGTCATGCAGTGCCACTGCTGGGCCCTGCCTGCTGAAACCCTGTTCTATTTGTGGAGTGGAGTGAGTGTGTGTGAAAAACAGGGGCTGAAGTTCTCAGGGTTTCATACAACCTCTTCTTTTCTCATTTTGATCTGTGAGATTTCACACCCCTGACTGGGTTTTCAAGCTCCACTCAGAGCAAACCACAGAGTTTCAGGTGATTTCTGGCTACGACAGGGCCTTGGTCTGAAGCAAGAGCTGCTGAGCCCCAGGCAGGGCCCTGCAAACCCACTGGGGAGTCTGAGCTGGGCTCTGGGGTTTGCCCAGGGCTTTGCAAGTGAGGACACCCAGTGCCAGGTACAGGGGAGGTGGGAAGGGAGGAGGAGGGAGACTGCAGGAAGAGCAGGGATGGTGTGTGCCCTGCCGAGGAACAGGCATCCAGGGTGCAAGAGCAGAGGTTCACACCTTGGGAGCTGCTACCAAGGCAAGGCAGGGAGATTGTGCTCGGGCTGGAGGGCAGGGAACCTGGGATTTGGAGACCAAAATCTGGGGTTTTTTGCAAACCAAATGAATGAGACAAAAAATGAAATGAATGGCTGGGGATTAGCTCACCTAGACCAGAATTTGTGAATGTCATTTCAGCAGATGGCCAGCAGAAAGTGTCTTGGAGAACTGGTTTTGGCTTGTGCATTGCCTGTTGGTTTGGGCAGGCAGGTCTCTGTCCTCCTGCACCTCCGAGGAGATGGATCTGCTGTAGGGATGAACCAGGGCAGTGTGGCAAAGGATGCTGCCTCTTCAGCTTGGGTTTGGGTTATTCAGGGAGCTGGAATGCCAGGCATGGGCAGGGTGGGTTCCCCTCCAAGGGGAAGAGTGATGTTTTGTGGCCAAAAGTCACTGAAGCTGAACTTGCCTGACGTGGCCACTAATTGCATGTTCCTCGTTATCTTTGAATGCCCAGCTTGAGACCTGGGAGGCTGCTCAGCATCAGGTGGGGCTCTGCTCCAGGAATGTCACCTGGAAACATGGGAATGGGCAGGAACACTCCAGGTGTTCAGTGCTCATCTCTTTGTCTTAGTTCTTGAGCTGTGAAGTGGGTTTGTTAGGAATCCCTCACAGGAGTGTTACAGAACTGCAGGGCAGTTTGGGTGCCTGGTGGCATCACACACAGCTTTTGTTTGAAATCCTTCAGTGTGTTATTCCAATGCAGCTCCTTGACCTTCTGCTCTTTGCTGAAGACAGGACCTGTCCATGGAGGTAAAGCTGCTGAGGTCTGAGTGCTGAGCCACTGCCAGAGCATCCCCGGGCAGGGGATGAATGACCCTGAGAACGGGGAGGGCTGGTTCTGTCACCAGTCCCAAACACTGGGAGCAGGATTTCAGTGAAGCTTTAGGGCTATATTTGATTAGGAAGGAAGAAGCCAAGTACTAAAGACATGGTTTTCCCCTCATCAAGCTAGGCTGGTGCTGGAGGGTCACAGAGCTGGTGCTGTGTTGTGCTGATGCTCCACTAATGCTTCATTAATTATATTAAATAGAATATATGCCATAATTATTAATTAATTTATATATATATTATGTGTACATTAATTATGTGTCTCTACTGTATGGAATCCTGGTTTGCAAACAATTATTCTTTCTTCTTTCTGTGGCTGCCATTAGATGTCAGATGACCCAGGTATTTCTTCTCCTCTTCTACAGATTGCAGAAGACCTGGGGACTGAGAAGTTCTGTCTGGATGCTGGCCAGAGTGGAGCTGGGAACTGGCTGAAGTACATCCGTGTGGCCTGCTCCTGTGATGAGCAGAACCTGGCTGTCTGCCACCTCAACAACCAGGTAATGACTGTGCTCACCTCACCACTCTTCCCCAGGTGCTGGGGTAGGCTGGCCAGAGGACAGTGTGCAGTGAGTGGGAACACCTGAGGGATTCATCCTGAAATGGTCTAAAACCCCTGGGCTCATGGGATCTTCCAGTCCCTGACTCCTGTTGTGGTGGGGAAGGTGGTGTGAAAAGTGCACACCTGGTGTGGAACACGGGTTGTGTTGAGGAAACACAGTGAGACAACTGGAAACCAGCGTTGGTGGTTCCTCCCTGCAGAGCCTGGGGAGACTGTGCCCGAGAACTTCTGCCAGCAACAGAAAAGCACAAATGCTAAAGGAAGAGGAAAAAAACCCCAACCTTAAATTTAGGTTTCTGAAAGTCTTAGACTGGGGAAGGAAACTGAGTTAATAAAGGGGTTATTTTTACATGAATACACATTTATTCTTTTTGAAATGTTAACTTGTACATTCCTGGCTTTCCCCAGGTTCTTAGAAATGCTTAGATTAAGGACTACATACATATATATACATATATATATATATATACACACACACGATTTGCCAGAAACCTGAAGGCTGCATCACGTTCTGTTCTAAGCCCAGTCCCCTGCATGTCCTTCTGTCCTTGTCCCTCATCTGGAGATTTTTGGTTGTGCATATTTTCAGTGTGTGCAGCAATCTGATTGGAGAGAGCAGCTGCTCATCACACACACTCATCTCAGCTGAATTGTCCCTCTGTGACCACTCTTTTACAACTTCTTAATACATACATTTGCTAAAAGTCACATAAGGAGGGGTGGGTAGAAGTGAAAATAAAAAGGTGCAGAATATAATGAAACAGTAGCACAGCAAAATGTTTTCTCCCCCTGAGCCTTCTTCCCTGAAAGATTGAAGTGTCTCAGGCCAGGCCAGCTGGTGGGAATGAAAAAATCCAGTGTAAAAGCAGCAGATGATGGTGATTGATAACTAGGGGCACTGGAGGCTTTGGGAGGAGGAGTAAAGTCAGAGTGAGGATCTACTGTTTCCAAAGTTGCTGAACATGGACTTGTTGGATAGCAGCAGCATTTAGAGCAAACAGCAGCACATTAAAATAATTGTGGATTTTTGTATTATTATTTATAGAGGAGACAATTCAACCACGTTTGTTCTGGAATGTCTTGTTCATTCCCAGATTTCTCTCCCAGTGTTCACTACTTGCTGTCCTGGAAAGATTCTGGTGTTAGTTGGTGGTTCTTTTCTTGCACGTGATAATAATTCTGCTTATCAAAGGATGAGGGTGGCTGTGGGTGTATTTGGTTGTCACAAAAGCGATGAGTAAGGTGCAAATGGCAATAGGAAAGGAAAACACCAGGCAGCCCCTGAGCTGCTCTGTGCCTTCAGCAAGCTCAGGGGCTCCATCATTGCCAAGTAGCCCAGGTGCCTTTGGATACCACCCCCCTGCCTCTGAACGTTCAGGCACTCAACATGCAATTACTAGATTCAAAAGTTCTTCATCCTGGCCCTAAGAAACACTGGCCACAGCAGCACCAAAAGGTGGGCTGGGGTGTCAGAGCTGGAGCTGGTCCTGCCTGGGGGGACCCGGTGGCTTCAGGCTGCATCAGGTTGTGTTGAGCTGGTGTCACCCTGAGCTCTGTGCTGGGGAAAGGGAGTGCCTGGGGAAGGTGATGGATCCTCTTCCTGCAGGTTTCTCTGAGCATGAGCAACCTCCTTCAGGTGATTGTTTCACTGGAGTCAGGGGCACTGAGCTGGATTCCTCCCACAAGTGTCTGGTCGTGCCATTGTGTGGTTGGGAAGTGAATCCCCTCCTTTTCCCTGGGGAATACAGTTAGAAAACAGAGGTGGTGTCAACTTCAAACTGAGTTATTTTGTGCACAAACACCCTCCCCCCCCACTCTGTTCAAGGGGAGATGCTGCTGGGTGCTGCTGCTCTGGGCACCCTGCAGCTGGGAAAGCAGGGAATTCAGAGAGCAGGGATCTTGGAGAGGAGATCTCAGAAGGGAGAGAGCTCAGAAAGATCTCAGGCCCTGACGAGAGTGACTCCTAAAGCTGGAAACACGTCATAAATGTTCAGAGGGACCGAGCATTGCTGAGCCCTGCCTGCTAACGCTGCTGGGTTTAGCTTTGTTTAATTCCACCTCGTTAGCAGGGTACGTTTATTTTCTGTAACAGGAACTCAAGAACCCCGTTGAAAGGCTTGACCACTCCTGCTCAGAAGGCAGGCAAAGGTTTTGGTTGTGTTTGTAAGTACAGAAAGAGAAGAAAAGCTTTTGCAATCGAAAATTACCCACAGAATAACCAACAGGGTAGTGATGATAAGAGCCAGAAAAGCTTTTAATCAAAACCATTTCCTTTTCTGGGAATAAATAAACATGTTAAAGTGGGGAGCTGGTCCTTTGCATCTTCCCCCCTCCCCAGACCATGTTCCATTGCTCTTTACACTCCTGTAACTTGGGAACATTCCTAGGAATGTACAGAAAATTTTCCTGGATTTTTAGTGAAGTCACTGACAGCAGGGTCTGGACCTTGGAATGGTGGAGGGTTTGTCCAATTTGCAGATTAAAATGTTGCTATTTGGAAAGAAATTAGTTGGGACATTTCATTAACTATTTTTCAATTGTGAAACCAATTTTCAGATGTAAAATAACATTAGCTAGTTGTCTTTATATTTATTCCTACTTGATAGGTATTTGAAAAGAATCAAAGGTCCCTGATTGACTCAGATAATTGTGTTTCTAAAGGAGGGCTAGAAAAGAATGGTAGAAAAATGATGATTTGATAAATGCATCTGGAAAATGACACATGGCTTCAGTTTTATTTTTTTCATGTTGCTATTGCTGCCTTCATGGGGCAAATACTTCAGCAGGTGAGCTGTTCTTATGCAGGTGGCTGTAATATTAACCAGAATATATGTCATAAATACAGTAGCCAGGAGCTTGCTTGTTTGGTTTGATTTGGTTTTTTGGTTTGATTTGGTTTGTTTTGGTTTGGGTTGGGTTTTTTTGTTATATATATTGGAAAAAAGAAAGACTAACATGAGCTGCAGTGGTGGAAAAAAATGGAGCCTCTGTTTAAGAAGCCAATCTTAGGGATGTGTGTGTGACAGATATTTTGTGTGTGTTTTACACATTCAGTGACTCTGTTCAGGATCCCGAGGTGTGTAACACGACGCCTCAAAAAGAGGAAATAAAAAGCAATGTGGCAGAGTTGGAACTAAAGGGAAGGCAATTCCAGAGGAGAGAAAGGTCTGAATAAAAGGAAAATGAGCAGCTCTGTCCTGGCCAGATCAGCACGAGGCCAAACTTTGCGTGGTCCCCCCCGTGCAGCAGCTCGGGGAGCTGCCTGGGACCAGCAGGGAGCAGAAACATTTGCCTTGTTGTTTCACGGGCAGCTCAGGGCAGTTCAGTGCAAGACAAGAAGGTAAAGCAGCCCCTTCGGAGCTGGTTTTGCCTTTGCCCATCCCTCCTGCTGCACACAGTGCCTGTGGTTTGATCTCTGGTGAAGGCAGCTGCTGCCCAGGTCCCTCCTGTTTCCTAAAGTACAAACTTCTTCCCTCACTAGGCAAGATAAACGGCAGCCTTAGCTCCCAGGGCAGCTGAGGGTGCTGGTTCCTATGAAGGTACCAACCTCCCGAGGCCGTGCCCAGCCGTGCTGCCCTCACTCCGGGTCTGTCATCTCCTCCCTTGCCCGATGGCAGCAGCTCAGGCTGAGCTGAGAACACTTCCTCACAGCAAAGATGCCCAGTTTGGGGCTGGGTGCTGTGCTGTGGGACCAGCCTGGGGTGGGATGGGTGCTGCAGTGCTGCATCATCAGTACATCCAGTAGTTGTACCAAATTCCTTGTTACAGACACTGCAGTGTCCTGCCCAGTGCCAGCTTTGTTTCCCTGCCTTTACACCCACAGAAGCAGTTCCAGAGCAGCTCCCAGATCAAACCCAGACTGGAAAACTATTCCTCTGGGGTTTTTTTTTCCTTTCCTTTTTTTTTTTCCTACTTCCTTTAGTTGCCCCATAATTTTGATACAAATAAAGCAATTTTGCATTTCCAGTTGTCTGTGGGAGCCCTACCCAGCCTCTAGTTACCTTGTTAACTATTTTGTGTTAACTAAAACTGACTGATAACCAGGAGAGGTGCCCCTTCTCCCGTGAGAAAGAAGGAATTACAGTGGGGGGGATTTTTATATCATTTCTGAACAGGAATGATTGATGAATGTAAAAATTCTGACAGATTAGTGAATCTGATCTTTTTTGGTGCACAACAAATAATAATAATTTAAAAAAGGAAAGGAAACACAGCTGTGGTTTTAATTCATTCAGACCATCAGTAGCATGATTGCAAGATGAAGTTAGTTATTGTAATGAAATGTTGGACAAAATTAATGTGACTCCAGCAGAATCCAACTTTTCCCTAATCATTCATGAAGCTCCTAATGTGTTTCTTGCAGGACTGGAACAGACAGGGGTTTATGTACAAGAAGCTAAGTTCTGAGAGCAAACAGGAGGACTGAGGGAGTTCAGGACTGTGATTCAGTGGCAATTTCAGCCGTTCAACATGACAATTCCAAAGGGTTTTTTCCCGTGTAAAATTTGTGAATGTGTCTGTGATTTAGGGACACCTTTTAGATCACGGGTTGAGTTTTGCTGCTAATTTGCTTTTGTGTTCCCAGCTGCAAGAGGGATGCCCAGGAACAGCTGTTCTGGGAGCTTTTCTTGTGTCTGTTCGCCGGCTGCAAGTGCTGCTGCCGTTTTACTGAGTCAAGCCCTAAGCTCTGTGCTTATTCCTGGTCTGTCTTTTGCTTTTCAGGCAGGTTTGCCATAAAACTCAGCGCGGTTTGTTTCTGGGAAAGGCTTTTCTTCTTGACCAAGCAGGCGGGAGAGAGACTTGAAGTGCAAAGGGAGGAATCGAGGAGGAAAAGGGCAGTTTGATACCCGCGGCAGTTTGCGGTGGAATCCAACGAAATTACCCGATGTGTGTGGAACACTGAGGTGCAACCTGTCGGGAATGTGCTCCCCCCCGAGT